CCCAAAGGGTTGCAGGTTCATTTCCTGGTCAAGGACACGTACCTGGGTTGCAGGTTCAATCCCTGACCCCAGTTGGCACACTTGTGGGAGGCAACCAATTGATGTGTCTCTCACATTGATGTCTCTCTCTCTCTTTCTCCCCCCCATTCCACTCTCTCTAAAAATCAACAGAAATCCTTGGGTGAGGATTAACAACAACAACAAAAAAGGCTCTCAAACTCTGAGAAGCTGGAGTTTAGGGACTGTCTTCAGTGGGGAAAGAGACAAGCTGCTTTAAGAAGGAATTAGAAAACATTTAGGGGCTTTTGAATGTGTGTTGGGTCCCTGATCCAGTATTTACAAGGCACTTACTTTGTGCCAGGAGTGAGGTCATCACAACAAACCAGAACTGACACCTGCCTTAAGAGTTCCCAGTCTCTTAGAGTTGTCAGCCCTCTAAGACAGATACATGAGTTCTCCTGGAGTCCTGGGTATGAACCCTGGAAAAATAAGGCATCCTGTTTTCCCCAACGTCTCTCTTTTCTCCTCCTCTTTTAAACTTCACCATGGCCCTGTGAAATGAGGCAGTATTTCCCCATATTACAGATCGGGAGACTGAGGCTTTGAGAGAGGGAGTGGCTAAGCTTGGGGTTCTACCGCTAGCAAGTGGCAGGGCTGGAGTTTGCACTTGAACCCATTGAGTATAGGGCTCCCTCAGAAGGACTGGAGAAGCTGTGGGGAGGAGGTGTTTCTGATGGTAACAGCCTGGATGTGGTGTGTTCTGGGACTGAAGGCAGGGGTGGCAGGCTGGTTGGAGTGGGGTCTGTGGATAGAAGCAGCTGGGATGGGTGAAGGCCCCCGGCTGCTTCAGCACCTGCTGCATAGAGAAGAATGAGCACCTCAGGCATTCTTGGTGAGGGTTGTCTTCCTCCCTCCTATCCTTTGGATTGTGGAAGAAATCCTGTGTGGCTCTCCCACCTCTGACTGTATAGCTGTTGAGTGGCAGTTGTGTGAGTGATTTTGGGGCAGTGTGAAATGAGAGTTGTTAGTGGCTAATTTGAGGCCAGAGTCCGACAGGGGTGTCTGTGGGGGATGGGAGATACTGTCCTTGGGCTGAGCTCGAGGGACAGGTACAGGTCAGGATCTAGACTTGAAGAGTGTGTTCCCTGCTGAGTCTCTGGTTGGGCTGTTGGTGTGTCCAGGAGGCTTTCTGAAGGTTCTCTCGTAGTGGGCTGGCAGCTCTGGTCTTGGCACCTGAGGCAGGTGCCCTCCCTTATTCCTGAGGCAAGGCAGTCCCTGCCAGCCCCAAGAGACTGTTGGGGGGCAATCAGGGAGAGAGAAGCAAGAGATATCTGGTGGTAGTAGACCCAGGCCACCTTTGTTGCTCATCTGGGGGGTCTGAAGTTGATGTGGAAGGGGGACGTGCATAGGACTTTTACAATTACTGTAAACCATGTTTACTTCTGCAAAACTCAGAAAGAAATGCAAAAATACTTTAAGGCATTTGCAGCATCAGCTGGTAATTCCAATTAGTCATCCTTTATAGGAACCTCTGGTTGGCCAGCACTCCATCAGTCAGAATCCCTGGTTAGGCAGCATTCTACCAGTCAGAAATCCTGGTTGGGCAGCAGTCCACCAGTCAGAACCCCTGGTTAGCTGCACCTATTAAAGAAACTGTCAGCTGGTACTTCCAGGGCTATTTAAGTGAGTGAGAGTGGAAAGTTTTGGTGGCAGCCCAGGTCCCCACGAGGAACTAGCTTTGGGGAGAAGTCTCTTCTGGGACTTGCCTGCACTAGGTTAACCAGCAGCTGGTTCCTGCACCAGGAGGCTGGGCTGATGGATATGGTGTTGAAGAGGGAAGGATGGGACATTTGGAAGAGCCACGCTGGCGGCTTCCAATGAGCAGGAGACAGCATAGGCCTGTGCATACTGCCCTGCCCCCCGGCCTGTGGGAACTTCCGTCTGAGACTGTCAGGCCTGGGTCCTGCAGTCGTCTTTGGTCTCCTCAGTTCGTGGGCATCCTGGGGAGAGAGGAGGGGGAGAGGCAGAGGGTTGGCTCCCTAGAGCTGTTTCATGGGCAGATGAGCTGGCTGGGGGGTAGGATTCCGAGCGATTTGGGTTGCTGCCTCTTGCTGCCATACACAGGGCTCTGATAAACGGTGGGCTATGTGTGAGCCATCAGTAGAGGGCGCCATCAGCTGGTGGGGAAGGAGAGTGAGCTTTGGTGCCTGCAGGTGCCTGCTGCTCCCTGGTCTGGCTGCCTGACCTTGGGCATGCCACTTCCCCTCACAGGACCCTGGATTCCTCATTTCAAGAGGATGGTGCAGCCACCTTGTTGGGTTTCTGTGAGAGTCAAACAGGGAAACATGTAAAAGAGCTCTGTGAATGGTAATAGGAGTTAACACGAGGGCAGGGCATACCTGTGCTTGGTCCTTTCTACGGGGGTAACTGTCACCTGTCTGTTGGGATGTGCTGCTCTGGGACATGTAGAGCCCACTCTGCTCTGTGGCAAGACCTCTCGGGGCTAATAGCAGGGCCCTGGGATCCAGGTTCACGTCCTATCCCAACCCTTGCAGAGCTATTCCTTTTCCAATCCTTTGTGTCCTCACCCCACACAGGAATCATAAGGCCACATAACTCAGGGGAATATTATGACAATTCAATGCGAAAATCCCAGCAACGTGAGTCCTTAGCACATTACAGTAAAAACTTTAAAATGACTTAAAAACAACAACTTATTACTCTGTCGCTAGGCCCTCCAGGTTGGCCTTCTGTAAGGACTAGCACTCAGGGTGGCCCAAGGCTGGATGTGGGGCTCCTTTTTGACCCCTTACTACTTTGGTCTGCTCTGACGTTTGGGCATCACCAGGAGGGACCCAGGGACGGTGAGTGGGGTTCTCTCCCTGTATCTCCTGAGGGGAGGGTGATGCTGTCAGACAGAGTCACCCGATGGCTTGACTTCCTATGGATGTCTCCGTCTTTTCTTGCCCCAAATATTCCCAACTTTAATCCATCCACCATTGAGCTTCTCGAGGGCACTGCTCAACCCAGGAAGCTGGACTCCGTTCTCCACCCTCCCCTAAAGGGCAGGCACACCTCTGTGTATCAGGTCTCTGACTTGCATCCTCTCCAGCCACCCTGTCACCTCCACTGTAGGGGCAGGGAAACTGGGAGAAGTGAGATGCCCCTGGCCCAGAAGTAGGGGAGCTAGATACTCGGCTGTCTGACTTTAAAACTGTGTTCCTTCCCTCTATGAGCTCTAAACCCCATCTGTAAAGTGGGGGTCATGGACACCCTTTACAGCACTGACATTTTGAGGCCCTGCAATGGACCTGTACCCTGTGGGAGGGGGCCCAGGGAGGCCCTGGGGGAACTGGTGGAGGAGAGGTCTTGTCTTTGGACCCTTAGCAGCAGCCAATGTGGAGCCTGCTCCTGGCTCATCCCCAGCTGCCTACCCTCTGTTGGGAGAGGGAGCTGAGATACAGGAAGGCGCAAGGACAAATCCAGGGTCCTGCAGGGAGCTGAGGTGGCACAGATAGGGTGGGCTGCGGGGCCAGGAAGGGCCTCAGCTGTCTCCAGCTGTTGCAGATGTATTCCTCTCCTGCTTTCATGCAGATTCCTTTCTGCCTGGGCATGGGGGCCTGGCATAGTAGAGGAGCTGAACCAGGTACCTCTTTGAGCCCAGGCTCCCGCATCTATGGAAACAGGGCTGCCCAGAGTCCTTTCCCTATTACCTCAGACCCAAGGGTGTGAGCCCAGGCCTGAACCAGTCACCCTGGGGGGAGGGGGCCCTTCAGGAAGAAGCCAGGGCTGTGGCTTTGGGTGGGGCCAGTGGCCTCTTCTGGGAGCCCAGCATCTGGAAGCCATCAGGCCAGGGGCGGGGGGTGTTGCAGGAGAGGGCTGGGAAGGGGGACATGCCTTCTTGAGGCCACACACATGCCCACCCCTTGGGAGCAGTGGCTTTGGGCCCACAGGCCCTGTTGCCATCTCTGCCTCCCACTACTGCCTCTTAGCCCGCAGCCTCACCCCCTTCCACTGGCTGCCTTCTCTCTCACCCCACAGGCTGCTGCTCCTGCAAGATGCAATCGCATAATATGCAATAACATTGCCCACTACATGCTGGGAGCCTTGTTTCTCTGGCACAGGGTAGTCTGCCTCTTGGAGTAGTGTGCATGGGGGAGAACTGTCCCTAGGGGTGCTTGGCTTGGCATCCCTCCTCTGGAGTGAGTGCTACCTGTCTTGTCTTTGAAGTCTTAGCATAGGGTGGCTGGAGCTGGGCTGGGGGCTTACGTAGGAGCTTGTGGCTGGAGATGTGTCTGTGGGGATTCGAAGGGAGTAAGGATATCATCTTCAGGCCCCAAGCCTGTGACTCTGAAGGAGGTGGTCCAGGTACATATCAAGATGCTCAGGAGTCCCAGGAGCAGGTGTGTCCATTTGTCACCTGGATCCACCTGCATCAGAATCATAGGGATTCTTGCTAGCCATGTAGGTTTGGGGCTCCACTCAGGCCTGTTGGCCAGACATTGGGGCGGGGACTTGGGGTATGCATGGTGACTTTGATACCCAGGCATCATAGAGCATGCTACTCCATCACCCTCCTGATCCGATAGGGTGTAGGCATCAGGTCTGGTATCCTTTGCAGGGGGAGAATTAGAATTGCAAGATACACCCAGGTCCTTTGGAGATGAACTGTAAAGACAGGGGTGCCTTAGGGGCAGGGCATGGAGGACACTTAGGCTGAACATGTCCCTGCCTTCTCTGGCAGTCTTGCCAACATTCCACTGACCCCTGAGACTCAGAGGGACCAGGAGCGGCGGATTCGGAGGGAGATTGCCAATAGCAACGAGCGGAGGCGCATGCAGAGCATCAATGCGGGCTTCCAGTCCCTCAAGACCCTCATCCCCCACACAGATGGAGAGAAGCTCAGCAAGGTGGGCGAGGGCTGGGAGGGCTTCCTGGAGGAGGTGGTGGGCTCAAGCAGGGAGAAGGAAGTGAGCTTCAGTAGATGTTGTCAGCTGGGGCCCCTGACTTGTCCCTCCTTCCCTTAGGCAGCCATTCTCCAGCAGACGGCGGAGTACATCTTCTCCTTGGAACAGGAGAAGACCAGGCTCCTGCAGCAGAACACACAGCTCAAGCGCTTCATCCAGGTAGCACCTGCAGAGGCCTCCCGTCACCTCAACACCTGTCCTCCTCCTGGCTCCCTCTCCCTGGCATGGGCATGTCTGGGCTCAACCACTGGCCTGGGACTCCGATGAGGCTACAGGTCCCACCTTCCCCACCGACACGCCTACTTCAGGCACTTGCCTACCTGCCTGGGCCTCAGTTTACCCATCCACGCAGTGCAGTTGAGCAGCTCTGGGAGGAACTGGGTGACTTGGCCAGCAGGTCCGTTCTGTCCCTCTTCCTGACCTGTGGCTATTGTTGGATTTGTAGAATGGGGCTCCCAGTGCCAGAGCACCTGGGCTGACAGGTTTGGGGGGCTGCAATGGAGCCCTCCAACTTTCCCATTGGTGGTGGTGATACAAGGGTGTCAGGGCACACTCACCAACCCCGTGGGGTCCCCAGGAGCTGAGCGGCTCGTCCCCCAAACGGCGGCGGGCAGAGGACAAGGACGAGGGCATCGGCTCACCGGACATCTGGGAGGACGAGAAGGCGGAAGACCTGCGGCGGGAGATGATTGAGCTGCGGCAGCAGCTGGACAAGGAGCGCTCGGTGCGCATGATGCTGGAGGAGCAGGTGAGGCGGGCGGGTGCGGTGGGGAGCTCTAGTCCCTCCCCCTTCCTTTCCTCCCGCCCCTGCTTCTTGTGCCAGGTCTAGGAATGGGGGAGTCCAGTGGGGAGTAAACCAGACGGGTACATACCCTCGGTCACCGCTGTGTTGGGTGGGAGGGTTAGTCAAAGGATCTTACACTGTAAAAATGCGGTTGTGATAAAGGTCCCGCAGGAAGCATGGGCATTAGGAGGGACATTTGGGCTGGTTCTGGAGGGGCTTCTCTGTCAAAGTCACTTGAGCTGAGGTTGGGAGGTTGGCCGGGGAGTCAAGTCTCACAGTTAACCAGGCAGAGAGGGGAGAAGGGTACTTCAGGCAGAGGGAACAGCATGGGCAAAGGCCCTAAGGCTGGAGGGAGGGAAGGAGTGGGAGCATGGCATGAGGGAGGTGATGGCAGGAGAGGAGATGAGTCAGGGAGGGCCTGGCGGGCTATTGTAGGACTTTGGTCTCTACCCCAGGTCTCTTCCCCTGGATGGCAGGCTCCTGTTAGGGTTTGCAGCAGGAGTGAATGGCCTGCTTTGCAAAGGGTAGAGCATAGGGAGACTGACCTCAACAGCCCTGAGGGCCCCAAACTGGAGGAGGTGCCAGGGTGTGGTCTGGACCCTGCCCCTGAGCCTGCCTCTCTACCCCCAGGTGCGCTCGCTGGAGGCCCACATGTACCCGGAAAAGCTCAAGGTTATTGCACAGCAGGTGCAGCTGCAGCAGCAGCAGGAGCAGGTGCGACTGCTGCACCAGGAGAAGCTGGAGCGGGAACAGCAGCACCTTCGGACCCAGGTGAGCAGGAGGCACCTGGGAGGGGCTGTGTGGACTGTGGTTGGGGCCCTCAGAATCAGCATTGGTACCTCAGGGGTCCTATAGGGCAGACCCAGAGCCTAAATCGTAATAGTGTAGACATTCCTGATTCCAAGTGTCTTACATACATTATTATTATTATTATTATTATTAATCCTTACCCGAGGATATTTTTTCCATCAATTTTTAGAGAGAGTGGAAGGGAGAGAGGGAGGGAGGAGAGAGAGAGAAAGAAACATCAATATGAGAGAGACACATAGATTGGTTGCCTTCTACCCATACCCCAACAGGAGCTAGGGATCAAATCTGCAACCCAGGTATGTGCCCTTGACTGGGAATCGAACCTGGGACCCTTCAGTCTGCTGTCTGATGCTCTAACCACTGAGAAAACCGGCCAGGGCTTACATACATTATTACATGAATCCTGTAGCCACACTTTGAGGCTATTCTACTGATCAGGAAAAGAAGCACAGAAAGGCTAAATAACTTGCCCCAAATCCTCAGTGATGGGTCAGGGATTTGAACCCTGGCTGTCAATCTAAAATCTAAATTCCTGACCACCACTGCATTAGATGTTGGAGTGCTTGCTTGGTGCTAGACAGTGAAGGGGCCACAGGTTCTTGGATGTCTGGAAGCCCCTTTCCGGGCTGCCTTTTCTTTGCTGCTTATAATAAAAGGGGGTGGGAGGCCCTAAATTGGCTGACCTCTCATGAATGGTTGGTGGAGACTGTCTCGAGGCAGTGGGCAGAGGGAGATGGTTTTGGAGGGCATCCCATATCCTCTGTGACCCCCAGAAGGGAAGGGAAAGCTCCCTGAAACTTTGGAGAAAGACTGAGGGCCTCTATCTCACAGCTCCTGCCCCCTCCGGCCCCCACCCACCACCCCACGGTGATCGTGCCAGCACCACCACCCCCTCCTTCCCACCACATCAATGTCGTCACCATGGGCCCCTCCTCGGTCATCAACTCTGTTTCCACGTCCCGGCAAAATTTGGACACCATCGTGCAGGTACCTGGGCTTGGGAAGGGGACAGCACTTCAGGGAATGGTCCCTCTGGGAGACATTAGAAAGCTGGGACTGAAGGGGAGCGAGACAGGACTTGAGTGTGGAGAAAGATCAGGAAGCTGGGTATATGTGTCTCTGTCTCCATCCCTGAATCTCCCTCTCTGTTTGCAGGGGTTGTGGGGAGGGAGCTTTGTGGAGAAGGTGAGAGGTAGAGATGGGGGACAGGATGCCCTGGAAAACCTTTTTTCTTCCCTCCACGTGGGGTTTGTTGAGAGGGTCTTTTGCTCTCAGAGCCCCCGGCTTCCAGAGTTCCTACATCCAGCTCTTGGTTTGGTCCAGAACTTCCTCTCACCTCCATCTCCTAGGACCTGAGATGGGGATGGAGGTGTCAGTGGCTGGGAGGGTGACAGTTAAGTCTCCTACAGAGGAGGAAGAAATGAGATTATAGCTCTGTGGGTCAGGCCCAAAGTCATTGCTGTACTCAGCCTGGAGCAGAGACCTCAGGGGAGTTCAGCAACATCACAAAAGAAAGAAACAACTAAACCAAAAAAAGCTCATCAAGCCCTGGACCTTTAATTACACATAATTCCATCAAATTGAATAGTAAAATTAATAACAAAGACCTTTTATCAGTGAACAGACCAACTTTGAAATATATAAATAAATGAAAGATGCTGAATAAATGAAATATATAAGTAAATGACATGAAAGGTGACCTCCTAGCAGCGCTGCACTGTCATCTCCAAGGGGTTTTTCGGCTCAGCAGAGGGGTTTGCTACCCCTGACTCTGGCAGGCCGCCTGCTGCTCTGCCAGGCTTATGTCTGGACCTTTCTTGTGTGTGTGTGTGTGTGTGTGTGTGTGTAGAAATGTTGGCTGTGTGTGTCACTCCAACCATCCTCACTGCAGCCTGTCCCCCCAGGCGATCCAGCACATCGAGGGCACCCAGGAAAGGCAGGAGCAGGAAGAGGAACAGCGGCGAGCTGTAATCGTGAAGCCCGTCCGAAGCTGCCTGGAGGCCCAGGCCTCTGACACTGCCTCCGATTCGGAGGCCTCAGACAGCGACACCATGGACCAGAGCCGGGAGGAGCCGGCTGGGACTGGGGGGCTTCCCTGACCACCCCCCAGCCCTCCTCTCCCTTCTGGGGGCTGGAGGGGGCCGGAGCAGCAACAGGGAATACATTCGGGCCAGCGAGTGAGGAATTTTTACAAAATTACGACGTCATTTGGGTCTCTTTTATGACCTCTTTTTCAATACTGTAAATCAACCTTTGAGCGAAGGCCACCCAACCTGAGGTCCTGGGGGCTGGGGTGGTGGGAGTGTGGGAGCACCGGGACAACTGGGGCTGGGCCTCACCCGCGGGGCTGGGGAAGCTGACACTTGAGGTGCCTGGCCTCTCTCTGCCAAAAAGCATTTTTTTTTTTTCATTTAAACATGTTTTTAAGAACAGGGAAAATCAAACAAAACCCCAACATATTTCTGCCCTCCCCAGAGCCAGCCCTACGACCATCAGTTTTTAACTCCCCCTTCCCTCCTCTTTTTGGTTTTCTTCTTTCTCTAAGCACTTAATGGGTTGGGGGTCTGGCTGGGTCAGGACTCTCTGGGGGGTCCGGGGTGGAAGTTGCTTTTGGGGTTTGCTGCTGCCCTTTTGCCCTGCCTTCCCTTCCCCACCTCAGCACTAGGATTTGCCACTCTCTACCACCAGCTGGCCTCCACCTCTCCCTCCAGGTTTCCCATCTTTGACCCCCCAAAATGTCTTTGTCTCTCTTTTTGTTTTGTTTGTGGGGTTTTCTTTTGTTTTGTTTTTGTTTTCTTGTTTGTTTGGTTTTTTGTTTTTGTTTATTTTTTGGGTTGTTTTTTTACAATTTCGAGGTCTTTGTGTTCAAGGAGAGCTATTATATTTTGTTAAGAAAAGGGGGGGGGAACCAAGAGGCCACCATGCCTTTATAAAGAAACGAAATAAAGTTTGTACTTTGTTTTTTAGATTGTGCTTCCTGGGTGCTCATTGTCCTGAGTTGCTGAGGAAGGTTTCCTGGACTATAGATTATGGGATGCTATTTGGGCCCACCAGAGGGGATTATATGTGGGTGAGCTCATGATGGCTCCCCCAACTTGTGTGTGGTATTGCAATGAGAAATCGGGGTCCTCACATTCGCTGGAATTACTCTTGAGTATTCTGCAAAGATGGGAGATGGTATTAGGGGGTGGGAGGAGTGGCTCCCAACTCTTTGGTGGAGGAGCAAGAAGAGAATGGACAACCAAGCCATAGGTTCCTGTCTCCTAGAGAAAGGACACAGGCTGTTCGGGGTTCCTGGTTGATCTCTAGGCTTTGCTACTTTTTCAACTTGTGTAACCTCCCTGAACCTCAGCCTCTTCATCTACAGAAGGGAAGGGAACACTCCCTCATAGTGTGATGTTTTATTTTTTATTTTTATTTATTTTTTAAATATATCTTTATTGATTTCAGAGAGAGGAAAGGCGAGGGAGAGAGAGAGAGATAGAAACATCAATGATGAGAGAGTCATTGATCGGCTGCCTCCTGCACACCTCCCACTGGGGATCGNCGCAACCCGGGCATGTGCCCTGACTGGGAATCGAACCCCGATCGCCTGGATCCCAGGTCGACGCTCAACCGCTGAGCCATGCCTGGCCGGCCTGGTGTGATGTTTTAAAAACTCAGGCCCTACCCAGCCGGGCGTGGCTCAGCAGTTGAGCATCGACCTATGATCCAGGAGATTGAGGTTTGATTCCTGGTCAGGGCACATGCCTGAGTTGCAGGCTCGATCCCCAGTGGGAGGTGTGCAGGAGGCAGCCGATCAATGACTCTTCATTGATGTTTCTCTCTCTCTCTCTCTCTCTCTCTCCCTCTCCCTTTCTCTCTCTGAAATCAATAAAAATATATTTAAATAAATAAATAAAAATAAAGATACATTAGAAAAAAAAAAAGAACTCAGGTCCTCGAGTTGGTCTGCAGTGGTCAGTTCCACTTTGGGCAAGCTATATATATATATATATATATATATATATATATATATATATATTTTTTTTTTTTTTTT